AACCATTCGAAGTTAGTTTTGTTCACTTTAATTTCTCTATATCTCGTACGTCAGTCGAGAATGAATGGCAATCCTTTCAGGGCATCTCGAGGTGAAATGTTCATGTTTACTGCGTTGAGTAAGGCACCTGTTCTAATCGCAATGATGGCCGGAGAAGCTGCCAATTTGGAGGCGCCCAATGAGGTGCTGTATCAGGATTATAACATAGACCTAAAATTGCATTGCATTGTCACTAACGAAATGTCCTAATTTTTCTATTCAGGTCATAGTTCGAAAAGCCATGAACGTATTAGCCAATATTTTTGGTTCGGCGTGTCCCAAGGGGGTGAGCTTATTTCTTTATCGTGTTAACCTGCTTCTCCTTGACGCAGAATTTCTACTCTTTTTGCTTCAGCCAGTAGAGGCAGTGATCACGCGGTGGCACAAAGATCCTTTCGCATCAGGAGCATACGCGTATATACCATGCGGAAGTGACGGTGAAATCTAGAATTTCTGTATGAATAGCTTTTTCATCAGACCTTTTTTCTTTCAGGCGATTTATGGGACAGATTGGCCAGAAGCCTGTGAGGGCTCGGATGGAGGACGGTTCTTACACTGGTGAAGAGCGAATTTTCTTTGCTGGAGAGCACACGAGTGGACGCTATCCAGCTTCTGTTCAGGTAAGAACATGGAGCGAGCAATTTTGAGGTTTCGTCAAAGATCGGGTCTCTGTCTATCGAAAAAAGGCGTAGTATGAAGTACGATTCTTCAAAATCTCATAGAATTTGGGTAAATATTTAGCAGAAAAGGTTGCAATTATCTCGAGCGCATGCATGAAAGTGTATGAAAATATGGAGCTCCAATGCTAGTACTGACTATATCATTTGTTAGGTGGCCCAAGGGCGGAGTTTGCATAGAAGGCAGCCCATTAGAATTATGGTAGAGGTGGTCAGAAACGCCGGGATGAAGAAAAACATGAGAAGCGGCCCAGAACCTAGAAATGGACCCCTTCTTGCCGTTGATTTCCGCATTGATGCGACTCTCATCGTGCTGCCTCTTCAACGCTAACGCTCTCTCTTCTTCTGCTAAAAGGTAGAGACTTGTGGGGAGTGGTTAGCCAGTCGTGGGCGTGGAGCATTTATAACGCCGCGGCAGCGGTCATGGCATACCTTTCGCTACGAATTGCGTGCCGGTCCCACCTCTAATTAACGGTCTTTCTACTAGGTAGGTTGTCATGTTCTTCCACCTTCGACCTTATCGTAATCCTCCTCCAATGCAATGGTAAAATGTTCGCCCCCGGATGCTTACGTCAACCGACTGGCTAATCATTCGTCGCTGGTCGCTAGCGGTTCACTAGGTGAGCGTCAGCGTTGTTCATACGGAGCCGCACCAAGTGCGAGTTGCACGTGTGGCGGGCAACCATGCTAAAGCTATCGGTGGCGAAAGGGTAGGATGTGCATTCAATGTTAGGTGAGCAATAATTATCTGCCGTTTTCATTTCAGCACAAGTTTTTAACAAAACCTAACAAAAACAACAATAAATGCGTAATCAGCAAACGCTCTCGGCAGTCTCTCTCTGCAACCGTGCCTTCGTTCCAGGCTCCACTGATTCTACGAGCAGATCAGAAGCATTGCTTTCGAGCTCAACTTGCACTCATGTAGCATGAGCAGTCATTTTTTCCTCGTGTGTAAGCTCCAGAGTGAAGCAATAGCAAGTGTTTTACCTTAGAATGATATTGCGCGCTTCAACTACCCATCATAATCTTGAAAACAATCAGCAAAAATCAAAGAGCCTGAAAAAAACGGCGGATAATTATTCACTAAACCTATTAGAAGGATTGAGCATGCGGCGTTCGTCAATCTCTTGTGGATGTTTCACGACTGAACTTTGCCTCGCGATCCAGAACCGTTATGGTTCGACCAGTTACAAATCAAAGGTTTTATGAGACTTGATGTGGGCGTTAAGTAGCGCGGCGATTAATCGTACTCCAAAATATGAAAGGCATTTGTTGGGAATCAGTATCTGGGACTGACATCTGTATGAATGAGCCGCAGGGTTTTTGATCTTTGTTTGGTTCATGAACTGATAAAAGGCATGTGTGTTCACGGTTTTTAATGTATTCAAGTTGACATATTCGATTTTCGTATGTTCAGGGAGCATGGCTCAGTGGCATCCGTGAGGCGGCAAGGATTGCTGATCTATTTCTGGGATGTCCGTTCTCAGCGACAAACGTTCTCGAGCCCGAGTGCGTTCAGCTTGACAGTGACGATGAAGACAACGAAGAAATAGAAATGACGGAAGCTGCTTGCGACACTGAAAATCCTGAACCTGAACATGCGGCCGATGAAGAAACGAAGGAAAACGGATCCAGCCACGAGGAGTTTCCTGACAGCACCGATCACAATGGTGAAAGTGAGTGCAAGCGACCAAGAATGGACGTGTAGTGCTTGCCAATTACAGCTCCTAGCCACCATTATCAGAGAGATTTCTATGGATTTTCTAGTGGGGTTGAAGCTTTCACGCTATTGCGATAAAATTATATAAAAGGGAACCGGCGCAGAAATCAGGTCCTGCCTCAGACTGTTTGTTTCCGTATGCTGAAGAATTCAGTGGCAACGACCTCATTCTCGGTCCTGTCGAACTTGGTTCATTAACCGTGCTCGGTCCAAGTCTGACCTGGTTTGGCAGCCCAGAAAATGAGTGCAAGTCTTCGATTAATGGGGTAGGTGGAATCGCAGTGAACTTCAATTTTTTTGCTTTTGAAAGGTACGGAAATAGTCACAATTTAGTGCCCTCTGTGAGTTCTTTTGGTGGGCTTCTCTCGCCCGATGTGAGTGCAAAAAACTATGAACTTCTTTGAGAAATAAAGTAGTGAATAATTCGTTACATTATGGAAACGGGCCATGTGAGTCAAGGCTGAGAAATAACAGTTGTAGGTGGATAAACTTGACCTGACTAAAAGGTGCCATAGAAATCTCGGAATCTCCCTTTCTTGTTAGGCTAGGTGTTCTAAACTCTGCACCTGCACGCTCTCTCGGTTTCGTCGTAAATCCTTTGACCAGGCTTTTTTTATTGGATGTAATTTCATGGATCTCTTCTACTGTGTATTTTTTACGTACTACGCGGTTGTATACTTTACGATACTGTTGTTTGTTTCTAATGATATCAAGTTCCGTCTGTGTTTAGCCCTGAGCTATTTTATTTTTACACAATGATGTCAATGTCAACAATGTAGGTCTCAGAAATCGTCGCCTATTGATGATGAGCATGCGCTATCAGTGATCAAGGTGACGTGATCGCATTGATTGTTAATAGATTTTCTCATGTTATTGTAATGATTTTGGATTTTTTTTTGTAAGAAGTATTACAGTAAAGTTGTTTTCTAGAAATGTGCAGTGCATTGCAACTGTTGTTACGTCTAAATAGAATCGAAATGGAGAAGGGCAAAGTGCACAAATAGCAGACTGTGGCGGACCGCACTAAGTCGGTATCTGGAAACCCCCGCGCTGAGGGCTTGCAGTATCTAGGCCGGGCCCTGGCCCTTCCTGGCCCTGGTAAGCGACGAAACGCCCTCCCCCGTACGTCTTTCCCCCCCACCCTTTCCCTCGTCTCTAGTATGTACTACATTATGCCTCTTATAATTCTTCAATCTGTAATCTTTCTAGGTAAAAAAGAAAGTGTAACTGTTGCCCATAATTATGGCTACCTCAGAGAGCATCGTAGAAACAGCCGTTGAAGTTCTAAGTATCAAAATGGGGCTACCAATGCTCTTTCTCACAACATAGCTTCCAGGGTGGTGAAGGCACAAAAAAGACATTCCCTCCACATTTGATACGAAATTTATCACTCCGGTAAATCCAAGTCGGATGAACCTGACTGGAAATTGAGGAGCCATTTTCAATCTATCGAAGACGTTAAAATAGCCCCCGACACCAACGACAGTCGAAGATTTCCTAACGGGAACGTAGTGTACGGTTCGAACCAACGAGATCCTGATCTGATCGTTGCCATTACGGCCTCATCTGGGAGTCTAGTCAAAAGGGGAGTTGCGTAGTTGGAGTTACTGCTTTTGGAAAGTTATACAGGTAGAAGAAGCAGCTTCAGGCTGAGCGATTACAGTAGGCCTCCTTGAGCTCGACGGTGATGGCAGATGACGTCATATTCTGGAGACGGTGAGGGCAGTGAAGGAGGGCCTGCTTCTGCTTGGGGTGAGGAGTTTATTTAAGGAATAGTGTGGCGTGAAATTTCCATTAACGGCTAAACACTGCGCACAAAGTGTCTAGCGATGTATGTCACTTGCGAAGTGAGTCTTCTTGCCCCCACCCCTCCTGTGGTCTACTCCTGTATTCACACTTCAACACGGTGCTTGGATGCTTAAATCGATGCCAGCTATAAATAGTTCAAGGGAAAGCAAAAATAGACATTGCTGACACATTAGGCAAATCCATATTTGTCTTCGTCGCACATCGTGCCGCCGTTGACGGGATCGAAGTTCACGGCGTAATATTCCTAAATGTCCCATAGTAAGTCAAAAATAAGCCATTTCACTGCCGTCACCATTTCTCGAGCATGAAATCATTTGCCATTGCCTTCGAGCTTGAAGAAGGCCTACCGGAATACCGCTCCTATCATGGAGCTGCTACCTAATCTCCTAAATCTCCTTAAGCGCTCACGTTGTTGGAGCGGGGAAAGCACATTCAGTGTTTGAGCCAATTGTTGTCATGGCAGAAAGCTTTAGGAAAGGGGAGGATGCGAGCAGTTCTGACGGCGTGTTCGCTCTGACGCTTCTCCTCTCTCCTGGGCTTATCCTAGTATCATCCACTCGACCCTGTATAAAATCCCCCCTAAGACCAAAAGCGCCTCTATTAGCTGATGAGCAGTAGAGAAAGTAGCTCTGGCTATGTGAGACCCCTGCCGACGAGCATTTCGAAGGACGTCGTTATGGTCCGCGATCAGTCGAACAACTCCTTGAGCTCGACCTGCACTATGTTCTCGTTGCTGATTCTTTCTAATGTCGCTATGTAGAAGGCTGTATGGAGCTTCATTGGACCCAATTGTGGTCCTGAATTACCAGCTAGTGGCAACGGCCTTGAGTTTGTTACAAATCAGTTCTGAATGTGATGGAGAAAATCTCTGTTTTCCTCCCTTCCACTGTTTGCCACATCTGCTACCAGTCAAAATTTTACTGATGCGCAGCAAGTTTAGGTAATCTATTGGGAAATGGTGATCTTCCTTCAACCTGAGATTTTCCCTTACCATGTCTACGACTCGACGAATCTGCGTCCAACCATGTTACAGTAGAATATAAGCATATAAGTATAGGAATAGCGCAGACTAACTGTATCCTCTGGAACCTGGCGAAATACGGTATATGGCAGTCACATCTTCGTATTATAAGGGCAATGAACATGGAATGAGCGCTGCCTCTACCGAGACTCATCTCACGTCAGACCTTGTGCCTTGACCAAGTTGCGCAACGGCAAAGGCAAAGGCTACATGTAGCTTACCTAATGACCCGATCAAATTACTATAATATGTTTTTGTGGTTACCTTACCTTATCAATCTGTGGATGTGTGATTGGCGATCTAGGCCTACCATCTACCATCCTCTTCCATCCACTGCCTTAGCTGCAGGTCAACTTGATTCATTGTGATGTTAGGTTTACCCTAGGGGTGTCTGCTTTTTTGTCGCATTGAGACGGCGTGATGGATCGTGGATCTGAATCGAATTTGCACCAACGTCAACAGGAGTGGTAATATGTGAGCGTGTGGTGTTATTGGTATAGCGTCTCAAACATCAGTCCTCCTTCGAAAGGCGGTGTTCACCGTTGCCTTGCGGTATTCTTCATTCGACCTCGTCACATCATTTTTTTCACAACAATGCTCGAGAGGATCATGATCGAGGAATCCCAGGAAAAGGTGCAACATTCCCACGAAGGAATAAAGATTCCATCGAGAAATGGCATTCGCTAATATTGCTGTCGGCGGGCATACGACGGGCATTTGGTGGGTGACAAGCGGTTTGTACTTGAATTCCAGTACTACATTAGATCATCAATCTTCTTCGTCCTTACTTCTACCTACCCCACACTGCATGTTAGATGGAAGGTTGCGCTGCAAACATAATGGCGTTTGGGTAGAGGAGGTTTCACAGGGAAGCCATAACACCAAAAGAATGCCCCAGGATCTTCTCAGTGGTCTATCCTCTAGACAAAAGGAAGTCGTTCACCAGACTTCTGCTTGTAGTGCCTTAGAAGCAGAAGGGTAGTAGTGTGCCAAATGGCGCGACAGTGGACAAAAAATGCAAAACTCGACAACTGGGGACCTCTGCACCTCCAGTCCCCTGAGCGATCCCATTCAGTTGTCAGGAAAATTCTTGTCGTTTTCGATAGCTCAACTTTCGAGGATTATTTTTGACTGAATGTTTGGCAAGCAGCCACATGTTGCAAGTAGTAGAAAGCGCGTCTTGCTCTATCCGATGGTAGTGTTAGCTCTGCTCAAGAACAACTGCTCCCACTTTTTCAAGGCCTTGAATACAACATGCTCAACAAGCCAATCCTCACGATTTTCTTCTTCTACCTCGAATTAGGGCAGAAAGGAGCGGAATCAGCTCATGATATGAACTATTGATTTGAACATGCACTCACGAAAAAGTTGCTGTGCAGCGATACTTTGGAAAGCTTGTGTGGGGATGGCGAGTGCCTCGAGGGTGGTCGTTGAATATGGAACGTTGGTAAAATTTTACTGGAACATTTGATAGGGCTAAATGCGCTCAAAGCTGTTGAGAAGGCCGCTGCTGGATCGAGCATAAACAATTTGTGATTTCAAGTCATATGAGATAGGTTGAGAAGACCGGAAGACTCGACAAGGGGGTGGCGCCAAAAATCGCGGCTTCGTAGAGCAACTTCGCCTTGGCTCTTCTCTTACCCTCTTCCATCCATTGAGAACGACCCGGTTTTCATTCGGATTGGAAACGCAACGAAGAGTAGTTCTTCAAAATAGCCCGTGAACTTTAGCTGAATGATTCGATCAGACTATGGTCAACAAAACTTTGCGATGAGGACAGGGTTGTTCTGCTTGTTTTTCGTCTGCAGCAGGCGCAGCTCCTTGAGCACAGAAGGAGCTTGAACGTTCAAG